CCATTTTTCCAACAGCATGGTGCTCACTTTGTGTCTCTGTGTCACATTTTGGTAATTCTCACAGTATTTCAAACTTTTTCAATATTATGTCTATGATGGTGATCTGTGATCAGTGATCTTTGCTGTTACTGTTAAAATTGTTTTGGGGCACCATTAACTATGTTCATGTAAGACCATGAATGTAATCAATAAATGTTGCGTGGTTTTCTGACTGCTGCATTGTCCAACTGCTGTTTCCCTCTCCTTGGACTTTCCTGTTCTCTGAGAAACAACAATATGGAAATTAAGCCAATTAGTAACCCAACAGTGGCCTCTTAAGTGTTCAAGTGAAGGAAATACCACGTCTTTCACTTTAAGTCAAAAGCTAGAAATAATTAAGCTTAGTGAGGAATGCATGTCAAAAGCTAAGATAGGCTGAAAGCTAGGCCTCTTGCCTCAAACAATTAACCAAGTTGTGAATGCAAAGAAAAAGTTTTTGAAGGAAATTAAAAGTGCTGTTCCAGTGAACACACAAATGATAAGAAGTAAAACATCCTTATTGTGGATATGAAGAAAGTTTGAAAGGTTTCGATAAAACGTAAAAGCAGCCACAATATTCCCTTAAACCAAACCTAATCCAGAGCAGGACCATAACTCTCTTCATTTCTATGAAGGCTGAGAGAAGTGAGGAAGCTGCCAAAGGAAAGTTTGAAGCTTGCAGAGGTTGGTTCATGAGGTTTAAGTAAAGAAGCCATCTCTATAACATATAAGGGCAAGATGAAGCAGCAGATGTTGGTGGAGAAGCTGCAGCAAGTTACTCAGAAGATGTGGCTAAGATCATTGAGGAAGGTGGTTATACCGAACGTTTTCAATGTAGATGAAACAGCTGTATCTTCTGAATAACTTTTTCTGTATACTCGAATCAGAAAGTTAGCAATTTATGTAAGCATTTACCACGGGATAAAATTAATTTCATGTATTGTTTTCAGTAATACATAACACTTGGTTGGTTTGGCTTTGAGTGTTAATAAGTTACATACATGAAGATTTTAAATTAAGTTTTCTTCATTTGCATAAACAGTGAGGTATCTTAATTTTTGAAAGCAGAAGTAAGACATTTTGTGATCAGGCAGCTACAGGTGAATATTTTGGAAGATTGTTTCTGGGGAGAGAAATCCATTTCTAATTTGCTTTTTAATGATTTGCTTTTAATTCTAGACTCGAGAGGTGATTGCCTTATCAGTATACTGTATGTCAAACAGTTCTTTAGCTTAAGAACTTATTTGTAGCTGCCAGTTGTTCCATGTTAACCTGAATTTTTAAAAGTACTTTCTGCCTTTCAGGAAACCTTTGTGACTGGCATTTGATTTCTTTCTCCCTAGTGTTTTATGTGAATAATAATCTTGTGAATTTTTCCAATCATTTTTATTGTGTAGCTATTAAATATTTAGACTGTGGATTATATAGTCATCTTGATTCTTATTTATATTCTGATTTTTGAACTGCTTTATAGCATATTCACACCTCCACCAGAGTGCTTGAAGAAGAATGAAAGTGAAAATCGGTTTTCTTGTTCATTAACAGGTCTTCTGAGGGTTTAGTACTTAAACTTTTGGCTAGGTGTCATGGGGCTGTCTGATTCTTTGATTTCACTTTATCCTACCTTTCCCTCTCTCATGAATGCAATGAATAATGACTGTAATATCTTTCTTCTCAGATGAATTAAATTGTGACTTTATTAAACTGTAATAGGCTTGCCTCATTTATTAAATTCCACCTTTTCTTTCCCTCTACTCCCTCAAAACGACTTCCTAGGAAAACTCTTGCAATCACTATTAAGAGAAGATAACTTGTGACTTAGAAAGTGTTCGTATTCAACAGATAGTTAAAATCTTTGCAGATCAGGACATTGTAAGATTTAGACACATTTCATGATAATTTCAGTTTTAGTTACAAATTTATAATGATATAGAAAAAAATTAGGGTCCTGAGCCCCTTTTTCTTCCGCATTAGCTTGTCTATTACACCAGACAAGGGCTCTCTTAAGTGATTGTTGTTCTGAGGCTGAAACCAAAGAGCTAGGTCGCTTACAAAGCCATGAAATCATGCTTTTCCTCTTTTTAAAAACAGCAGATTAAAAAAAAAAAATTCCTTCTCTATTAGTCACTTCATGTTAGTATTTATCCATGTTTAAGATTTACATTTAAAGCAAAAGTCTTCAAAGGGAAAACATGAGTTTTACGTCTCTTAGGGAAGGAATTCTGTAAATTTCTACAAGTATTTATTTTTAAATATTAGTGGATCTCTTTTCTAGTTAAGATCTTGGGAAATTACGTGCAACTCTGATTGTTGTAACAAGCATTAAAGATGAGCTTGCTAAATAAAATGAACCTTATATAAATTTACTTGTAATTCAGAAAATACATAATATTTTTCATAAATTTGCTTTATGTGTTATACCTGTCTTTTTCTATAAGTGGTTACAAAATTGGGGAGGAGAAATAATTTGTAGATTGATCCTCTAAATAAGAGGAATCGAGTTAAAATCTTTCAACACTGGAATTTTATCTGCATAGCGTTCTACCTCTATAATGTTGGGTGAGTTACTTAACCTTTCAGTGCCTGTAAAGCAGGGATAATAATAGTAATTACTTGCCTCATAGGAGTTGTTAGTAGGATTAAATGTGATAATTTAGCATAGGTATGTGGCATAGTGCCTAGCAGATTGTAAGCAATGAAATGTCAGCCGATTTTTAGTATTGGCATTATCTTTGAAGAAAAGCCCATTTTAAGATTTGTTTCTCTTGCCTTGCTAGTAAATGTGTTAGTGTGAAAAGTTAAATAGTTTCAAGGTTAACGTGGAAAGAAAAGTCAAATAAATATGTTCCTGTAATAAAGAAAAATTCACTTGCCTTTGAACATGGCAGGTGTTTTTTAAATCTTCAGTTGGGTTAAGGTAATGAACCCAAATTTATTAACTGGTTTGTGTTTGTATACACAATGTTAAATGCAAAATCCTTTAACGTCTAAGGACTATTGATCTGTGTTTTAAAGAATAATTTTTTTAAGCTTATTTTGATACGAAAATGCATTCCATTGTCATACTATTTAAACTTTTGGGAAATGCTATCACAATTTTGTCTCTTTGGAGTTATATTTATTTTCATGATGAATATTTTAAAACTTACAATCTAATGTAAACTCTTATTTTTGCAGTTATGTGTTTGCCTAACACACAAACACACCAGGCATGTTCCTGCCCCCAAGGTCTTTGTACTTTTTGTTCCCTTTACGGGAAATCCACTCTCCCTAATTATGGCCCAGCCTTCGAGCTCTCAGGTCTATCAGGGCTCTGCAGAGGATTACCTGGTTTTGGGGAATGTTTTCTTCTAAAATGTGACTCTATCTTCATTATGTTTGTTGTTTTCCCCCACCTGGCATTATATATTATATACTTGTGCTTGTTTAAAATCACTTTCCCATTAATATCCAAGGATAGAAACTTTGTTTTGTTCACTGCTGATTCTGCTACTGTGTGTGATAAAGTACAGGGCATGGTACATTGTAAGCAGTAATAAATATTTGTTAAGTGAATGTAGGAATGTTGTTGGTCAAATTAAAACAGTTTTGTTGCGGAGATGAAGATTCTGTGAACCAATTTTTAATAATAATTTTACATGAGGTTATTTGAGGTTTTTATGCTCAGAAATGAACCATTTTAAAAGATGTAATTTATAACTTTTCACCCCCCGCCAAAAAAATAAGAAAAAGAAGATATAAATTTAACGTACATAGTGTGAACTGAGAATTAAGAAAGACCTGATTGAGAATACTGACTCAACTTAAAATAGCAGTGATACTGTGCAGTAATTTATCCTGTTTTCTTTCCAGGAACTTGCTCAGTGCCTAACACTGATAGTCAATAAATGTTGGGTGAATGAATGAGCCTGTAAAATCAGTAAAGTCATGAACTAATTCCTAGTTTGTTAAAGAGTACCCTAAGGACCCTTGAATAATTGCTTCCGGAATAAAATGGATGGAAGTTTGCAACAGAATCACCTGGAGGGCTTGTAAATACAGTCTGTTAGGTTGACTTTCTCTACCTTGTGTTGGAGGTGGAGCAAAGGACTCTTCTAACAAGTTCTGAGGTAGTGGATGTGATGCTGTCCTCCGTTGAGAGCCGTTGCTGTATACCTGTATTCCTGTTGAGGTGATTCACATTAATGTATTGAAGGTTTTGAGAAGCACTGCAGTAGAGGAAGCTGTTTAACTCTTAACTATTTCTGACTTACTTGGCCCTAGTCCTCTCCCCCACTTGTTTGTGTGTGTGTATCTATATATACTCATAAAATAGTGTTTTTTTCCTTTTTTCTGTATGCTTGGGTAGGTAAATACTGTGTCAGGAGTGAAGTCTTCAAAATTGAGCCCTATTGCAGAGTTGGAAAATACTATGATAGTTATGATCTGCATGAAAACATTTGTATACATTTTTGAGTCTTGCAAGTTATAATTTGGAATAAACGTAGGGATGTATAGCAAGAATAATTTTATGAAAATTGATCCAAAATGAAATGATTTCTAAGTGACATTTTTCCCCTTTATTCATGTATCACTTTCGTTCTTCTTGGTTGTTTTTATTTTGCCAGGCCTTTTTTTTAGAACTTTAGGGACTTGACAAAATTAGGAAATAATATTTTGTCATGAAAAGTTGAGTTTTCTCTAGATGAAGATTGAGTCTTAGCTAGTGTCAAATTTTTCCTAGTTGTATTTTCAATTTTGAACTAATCTAGTCTCATGGTACAACATTCTACTTTGCATGTCTTAGATTTTGTTGACTTAATTGTATTTTAAAATATGATTGTACTGATTCTGGTCTTTTGTCTTAGAGTGATGGTTTTGATACAAGATGTGGCTAATCAATGGAAAAGGGATATTTGAGGAAGAAGTGATGATAGTTATGAACTCTAGAGATGTTAAATGTAGCACAATATTTGAATCTGGGATTCTCTATGTTCCCTAAGGCTGTGGATCTTTCCATTGATGAGTCCAGCTTGACAGGTGAGACAACGCCTTGTTCTAAGGTGACAGCTCCTCAGCCAGCTGCAACTAATGGAGCTCTTGCATCAAGAAGTAACATTGCCTTTATGGGAACACTGGTCAGATGTGGCAAAGCAAAGGTAAATTTTTTTTCCTGTTGTGAAAAAAGCAGTACCTTTGTTTTAAATTATTTTCTCAATTATTTTTTGCTGATTTTATGTGGAATTTTTCAAATACATGACAAAAGATAAAATTGAACTTAACCCATTACATCTATTTGTGAAACGGGAGAATCTGTGTCCCTGAAGTATAACATTTCCATAGTTCTGCTATTTCCCAGATAATGGATAATCCTCATTACCTGTTTCTTTTTAAAGAGAGAAACAGTGGTTTCATGGATGTGTTTATTATTAGTTAAATAAAATTTTAATTTAGTTGATATGATACAGGCTGTAATAATCTGACTATATATTGTTCACCTGTTGATCGATTTCAAATGCTTCATATCCTGAATTCCGGTACTCCACCAGTGCAAAAGACACCATTCACTAAGGGTAAAAAGAAACTATATTAAATGTCTCCTATTGAGTATAATACATATTTGTATTTCAGAAATACTAATATAGGCAAAAAATAGGCCTCAGAATTGAGTCTGCAATACGTTTTGTTTTGAGACGGAGTCTCACTCTGTTGTCCAGTCTGGAGTGCAGTGGCATGATCTTGGCTCTCTGCAACCTTCACCTCCCAGGTTCAAGTGATTCTCCTGCCTCAGCCTCCTGTGTAGCAGGGATTACAGGCACATCCCACCACGCCTGGCTAATTTTTTTGTATTTTTAGTAGAGATGGCATTTCACCATGTGGGCCAGGCTGATCTCAAACTCCTGACCTCAAGTGATCCACCCCGCCTTGGCCACTCAAAAGTATTGGGATTATAGGCGTGAACCGCAGCACCCGGCCAGCAATACATTTAATGTAATGTTTGTTTCCAGGGTTTAAATCATGAGGGGCAAATGGTTATGACAGTAACATAAAAAAGTAAATTTGCTAAGGAAATCTTACGAGTATGTATGTTAGACATCTTCACTGTAGGTAAGACTTTGAAAGTTGTTGGATGTGTGTGTGTATGTGTTTTGGTTTACATTTCATCTGGATGTAAATGTATTTTCCTGTTTTTCCCCTTAGGGTGTTGTCATTGGAACAGGAGAAAATTCTGAATTTGGGGAGGTTTTTAAAATGATGCAAGCAGAAGAGGTGAGTACTTAATATGTTAATGATGTATTTGTTCCAAATCTGGAATTCTTCATTGTAAGTAGAGAATATTGGATTATTTTGTATACTGTTGAGAGCAATATTTTATTCAGAATGGAAATCAGTTGTCTCTGTTTAGAAACATAATTGGAAAGCCTGTAATTGAAAAGGTCTAAATTGATGTTGTTAGTATTCTAAAGGATTTTGAGCTTTACTCATTGTTTATAGCAGAAAAAGGCTTATAACCACTTATTTGTAGATCTTATTATTTTCAGAAATTAGTGTTGTAATTTTAAGGGTTAGTAATTAGTATATTTGTACCTTGGAATATGTCTTCTATCAAATTTTTTCAACTTCACATAATTCCAAGTAAGGGTGGCAGGGAAAAGATTGCCAAGTAAAATAACCTACAAAATATTCTTGGCTAAAAGTATTAAAGATGAGTTCATTTTAAATACTTTCTTATTTAAAAGGAAGTTGCATTATGCAAATGTCATGTTATCCCCAAATCCTCTGGATTTCTCAGGTAACCTGCCAAAACTCCAGTATGTGATGCAGAGTGGGAACTCATTCCAAGAGGCGTGGTAGTGAAGGGATGAATAGAGAAGAGGGTTAGCAGATGAGGGGGGATTAAAAGACCTGGGTTACTAGCATGTTTGTGGATACAGAAAGGGGAACATTGGAAAAGTAAGTGAGAGAGCAGCTGATGGTAATGAAGTCCTGCAGTGGTTGGTAGGAGGGAGAACAGATTTTTCCTCAGAAGGAAGCATGGGGGAGAACGGACATTTTCAAATAAACAGGTTTTTAAAAGTAGAAAATTTCTATTCCTCACTGTGTGACCTTGGGCATTGTGTAAAATCTAAGTCTCAGTTTTCTCAGTGAAGGTGATTATTTACCTTATGGGAGAGTTGGATGGTTAACTTAAGAATTGCTTTGTCAGGCACTTAGCAAGTCCCTGACACTTGATAAAGCTTAGTAAATATAGCTAATTGTGGTGACACTCTTCTTCAATTTATCAAGGCACCAAAAACCCCTCTGCAGAAGAGCATGGACCTCTTAGGAAAACAACTTTCCTTTTACTCCTTTGGTATAATAGGTAAGAGAAGAGTGAGTATGTATATATTTTTATTTGAGTTTTCTTTTTTGAATGTGAAGGGTGGTGGTATTCTAGTTTTATTTATTGGCTTTTCTTTTTTTATTAAGTTTAATGCTTTTTAAAATTGTAAGACTACTAGTCATTGTTCATTTCAACAAAGAAAAAATAGAACTCTGATTCTTGTAATCAGAAAATATTTCTTTAAACATTTTAGTATTTGTCTTTCAAGAATGTAATACTGTAGTTTTATGGACTGCTTTTCTATTTTTATTTCACATGTCCTGTCATAAAACTCTTGTCATTAGATTGATGCTCACACAAAACAAGTGTAAAGGTTGGATAGTATTCTATTTTATGGGAAAACATATAAGAAGACCTCTTCCAGACATTTAGGATTTTTTGAGGTTTTTTTTTTGTTATATAAATACTTCTCCAGTGTGGCTATCTTCTGGTAAATACCTCTCTTTTTTAAGGAAAAATTCTTAGAAATAAAGTTATTTAGTCAAAGGGGATCCATGTAACTTTTAAATTTTTGGCCAGCTTTAAGTGTTGTCATTAACTTCAACTGTAAATAAAAGAGTTCTCATTATTTGATTTGACAGTTCATTATTAGGGAAACCGAATGCTTTGTCATGTGTGGGTTGATCATTTTTATTTCATTTTATGACCTACCAACGATTTCTTTTGTCCGTTTTCCTGTGTCTTGAGTCTTAGATTGATAAAAGCTTTTTATATGACTAGATTTTCAGTATTTTTGTTGTATAAGTTATAAATATTTTTTTTCCCATTTAAATTGCCTTTGAGGCATGTAGAATAAACTTGGTAAGAGGGCAATATATGTAATTAACTATTTATGCCTAGTGTTCCATTATTGGATCGTTAAGCATGTGGGAGTTATTTATATCCTACTGCTCAAGGTCATTGCCAGGGTCTGATTGCAAAAATTCAAAAAATTGCAACCTCAGACACAAATGGGTTAAAACATCCCCTCTTCCATGAGATTCTGTTATCACCCTCCTATTGATAATCTCTGCAATTAAGTTGGTTTTGTTCTATTCCTAAAGATTTCCCAACCTCATGTTTATAAGAACATTTATTAAAACGTTGTATAGTTTTTTATTTTTGACATTTTACTGTTTTATTTAAAATTTATTTTAGTACATGGCTTAAGGCAGAGTTTTAACTTTTTTACTCAAGTTAATTATCCCATTAATTCTGTAATCCAGTCTTTATTCATGGGGTTGAAGTCACGTTTTTATCACACATTAAGCACTTGCATTAATTTTGGAGTCTTTTCTCCTTTAATTTTCTTACCATGTTAATTATTCCAGCTAACTTAGTATTTCAAAGTCAGTAATACATTTTTTTTTTTTTTTTTGGAGACAGAGTCTCACTCTTGTTGCTCAGGCTGAAGTGCAATGACACAATCCCGGCTGACTGCAACCTCTGCCTCCCAGGGTTCAAGCGATTTCCCTGCCTCAGCCTCTCAAGTAGCTGGGATTACAGGTGTGCGCCACCACACCCGGCTAATTTTTTAATTTTATTTTTAATAGACGCGGGGTTTTACCACATTGGCCAGGCTGGTCTTGAACTCCTGAACTCACGTGATTGCCTACCTCAGCCTCCCAAAGTGCTGGGATTACAGGAGTAATGCAATTTTGAAACACTATTTCTGTTAATACAATATTAGTTGAAATAACTTCTTAAATAGTAATTCTGTTTATCCATCTATCTTGATTGTAAACATAAAGTAGAAGGTAGGAAGTTATCTTAGTTTTTTCCACTGGTGTGTATGCCCTCATAACTTCTTTCATTTGATTATTGCTCTTTTCTAGAAATCTCGAAATGTTATAGTGGAACTTCTGACTAAACTGACAGGACGATTTCCCTAGCCATTTAAATCTTGTATTTCTATTAAGCACCTAATACATAAAACCTATTTCAAGTTTAAGGTAACCGTGAAATATCGTTCTCCAACTTTATGATCTATCTGGTTTTTATGTTAGATAATCAACAATTGGCACACTAAATTCTCTTGCCAAGGTCAAGAGCTAGATAGCACGGCGGCAGCCAATTGTTTTTTTTTTTTTGTAAAGAACTAGATAGTACATATTTTAGTCCATATGGGTCTCTGTTGGAAATAGTTTACACTTCTGCCAATTAGCACACATGACAATCACCAATCGAATCAGAAGATAGCATCACTACACCACTTCTATGAGTGTTGCTATGCTCCCCACG